TGAGTCCAGCCAGGTAGGCATCCAGCCTCTTCTTAAAGACCCCCAGGGTAGGGGCCAGCACCACTTCCCTTGGAAGTTGGTTCCAGCTCCTAGCCGCCCTAACTGTGAAGTAGTTTTTGCGGATGTCCAATCTATACCTCCTCTCCATCAACTTGTGCCCATTACTCCTTGTTATGCCAGCGGGCGCTAGGGGAAACAGCGTCTCCCCCAAACCCTTCTGGTCCCCCCTAGTGAGTTTATAGATGGTCACCAGGTCCCCCCTCAGCCTTCTCTTGTGGAAGTGCTAGGGGCAGACTGCAGGGGAGCTTCAAGGGGCCTGATCAGCTGGCAGCAGCTACACGTACCTCCAGGCGGATGGAGGGGCAGAGGCCATAGTTGTGCTGCCCTGGTCCCTTCCTTGCCCTGTGCCTTGAGGCATGCGTGCAGTTGCCACTGGCATTGAGCCAGTGTTGGGTCTCTGGAGTCCAGTGCACTTGTTTTCAGCCTTTCAGTTGCCTGCCACAGCTGGCCCTTGTTCTGCCCAGTTGTGGCAGGCAGCTGGCGGGCTACTTACAGCTGTACCGGGCTCCAGAGCACTGACACTAGCTCTGGTGGCAGCAACTGTACCAGGAGGATGCCAAGAGGTGGGAGGGGGGAGGCTGGGCAGCTGCTGCCAGCCACAAAGCGTAGGCTGCTTGTAGCAGGCCTTGTAGCCTCCTAGCCACGTGCTTTGAGCAGCCAGGGCTTGGCTGTGGCATGCTGAGCAAAATGGTCTCATGCGTCCTGCTTATGCTCTGGCACGTGTTCTGAGGGTTGCTGACCCCTGCTTTAGAGCATAAGTAAAATACAGTTCCTGCCTCAGGGATTATAACTACAGGGACAAGCTGTAGCCCAGCCTCAGCAGTTGCATGGAGTTTCAGGAAAAGTAAGCCAGCCTCTCTATTGTCCTGCATAGATTATGCATAATGTTGAAGGCTGCACAGGAAGAAAGGTGTCCTCTGAAGAGTTAGTATGTGTCCCTCTTTTTTGCAATTTATGTAGGTTAGAAAGATAAATTTCAATCCCACTAAAACACCAGCCAGTCTAGCTTTAAGAAATGGGCTTTGCCAGGCCTAGAAGGAAATTGTAAGGCTGCTTGTGACTCCCAATATGCTCTTAGGGAAGTATATTTGTGTGCTGTGTCATTTATTCAAAGCAAAGTTCTGGCCTTGACCTTAAATAAGGTCAGTGTAACAGGAGGAGGGTGTAGGGGTTGCAGGCAACTAAAACAAAGGAAGGACTACTTAAAGATGAAGAAATTTTCAGGAAGAAAGACATCGTAAGGTAGATGAAGATGGTGACAGTACAAAGCATAACTTTGACAGAAGCTGTGAAACTCTGAATGGAAGCAGGTGATGAAGCAAATAGTGAGATTGTAAAAATATAAGCAGAAGTGAAAGCATAAAGGGGGTAAGATTATATGGTAGTTTGTTAGTGAGGAATTAATGTGGTAAAGCAGTAAATCAAGACATTCATGGCAAAGTTTACAGGAGAGGAAGATGACTGTGGCAAAGATTTTGTGAAAGATAGTACGGTCAGGTAGGAGGCAGTTACACTGATGCTTGTACTGGGATAAGCAGGAGAGCAGACATTTGGTAGCAGCAGATGTAAGTGGTATAGAAAAGAATTGGAAGACTGTAGGGACCCTGTTGATAAGGAAGGATAGTGGCTAAATTAACTTAAACCTTGAAGCTAACCAGGAAAAAAGAACCTAAATTCCTTTAATTCTAGGCTTCAGCGTGAAGAGGAAGAAGCCTTTGCCAGCAGTCATAGCACACAAGGGGCACAGTCTCTCACCTTTTCCAAGTTTGAGGAAAAGAAAACCAATGAAAAGACACGTAAGGTGACTACAGTGAAGAAGTTCTTTAGTGCTTCTTCCAGGACAGGAGCCAAGAAGGGTAATCACCTTTATCTTTTTTTATTTGTAACCATCCTGTACAATGTCTCCCTTGTTATGGATTATAATGTCAAAACAAAAAATAATGTCAACCTAAATCATGTGCTCAAAAGGCCAGAGTGGTATTTATACTTGAACATCAGGGAAAAAAATGATGGTTCAACTTTTCCAAGACTGTTGCGATAGCAGTGGTTGGGTTGAAGGGCTTTGTCTCTGATGACAGGTTCTGGCCGGGATCAGTGATCAGCTGTACATACTTTGATGCAGTAGTTTAGGCACTGCAGGGGAGCACTACAAATGAAAATAGGATCCTAAGATGCACTGATGTCTATATGTGCAAATGCTGTGATGAAGCAGCAAATGACACCTCATGATTCTAAAAACTACAAATAATTTTGTCAAGAAAATAGGAGTATGTCAGCGATGTCTTTTAAAGAAAAAAAATTATTGCAACAAACCTTGTGTAATACAGCATCTTTAAAAACACAAAAGCAGCATCTGGAGAAGTTTCATGTTTGTTCAGATGTAGAGCCTGCTTGAAAAGGAGGAAGAAAAATGGCATTGGAGCCTTGCATGGCAATAGCTTGCATGTTTTGTGCACCTTGGCTTGGGCACTGAATTTTTATGTGAAAGCTTGACTCTGAAGGGGGAACTCCAGAAAGCTTAGCTTCAATCACCTGTATGTTTTCTTGCTACAGAAAGGTGACATTGCTGGGCCTTGGCTTTGGTGACACTGCATATTGTCTTGAAAAGAAACAAAATATACTTTGCTTTCACGTTGGAGTGTGTGCTTCTCAGTGCATGAATGCTAGCTGGCTAAACAAAAAGCATTACATCACTGAATGTCTTAATTTCTTGCCCTTGATCTAGAACAGCAGCACTCATTCTTTGTTTTCCGTGTGTGTGGTTTTTTTTTTGTTTTGTTTTCATTTGTTGTACCCCTCACCTTGTCACTTGACACTCTTGCTCTTGGTGTCTTGCTTGCTTTTGCATTTATTCCAGTGGCTCAAGAGAAAAACCTTAAGCAAGGACAGCTTGGGAGGGAGCGCAATGCTGATAACATTCTCAGGGACTTGAAGGAGATATTTACTCCCTCCTGGGAGCTGGCTTCCCCTACTGAAGGTAATGCAGCACAGTGTGAGCAAGCTGTCTGCCTTTTTAGTAAGCTTGTTTAGTTGGGCTTTGCAAAATCTAAACTAGGGTTGTGCCAACTGGAACTTATCCCACTGAATATGAGAGTGATCAGAAAAACAAATCAGTGTGTGAATTCAAAACCAGTATGTATCGGAATTCGTGGTAAAGGTGTGATATCTTTTATTAGACCAACTAAATGTTTGCAAAAAAAGCCTTTAATTGCAAGCTTTCAGGCACAAACACCTTTCTGCAGGCCAATATGTCGCATTTAAAGAGAGAAATAAAACTTAAGTTCTTTTGACTTCCATCTTCACACAATCCTTCAGGAATAGAGTGATAAAAGCCTCCCCCCATGCCTCTTTTTTTTTTTTCTGTTTCCGTTTTTTTTTTTTTTTTTTTGGAAAAAAAGGTT